CAGTTGACGAATGCATTTTAAACTTTTTGTAAAATAATGGCTTAGTCACTTAATGCTGGTACATGTATGCATATTTGTAATTGTCACAGCCAGCGATTTCCCCTAAGTTTTCCATTTTCATGGGCCTTGCAAGGAAGAAAGGTTCTTGTTCACCATGAATGAGTCAGAACATGTGACTAACTCGACTGCCTCACCTGCCATTCACAATTTTGGTGTTTCACCAATTATAATCACATTTTCCATGTTTTCACCTAATTTGTCCGCTATTTTGTTTGGTTATGCTTTCGTGACTCCCCTGTGGATCAATTCCGCACTCAATTTCAACTTTCTGCTTTGTTTGGGATTAATTGATGCGTCCTTAACTAATACACATGCTGAAATTTTGCATACATGGGTGACATTGTAAATTGATTGTTATGGGAAATTAGCCTCGCTCGTAAAAGGCTGATGAGAGAGTGAAAATTCATCATTTAGTAAGCCAGGCCACTCTGAGATCCCAAGAACATTAAAGACAGGTATGGTCAAGAAGATTAAACAGTTCCCGAATTCGAGCGTGACACAGTTGGCTTACTAGTCAGCCATAGAGGTAATCTCAGAGGGTGATTTTGTTATTGAGGTACAAGGTAGTGGTCGAGTTTCAATCATAAACATTTCTGAAGTTGGTTATATTATCATCAAGAAACGGCAAATTCGTCTTTTTTCATGTTGCATGAGTATTGAATATTATAACAACCTATTAAAACGCCCAGTGACCATTAAAGGTTTCAGGATGGCTGACTTTTAGGGGCTGAAATGTTCATTGCTAGCATCAGCGATTTGTCGAGAACGAGCCAACGAACCCGCAACAATTTTAGATCATTGACTATAGTTTTATATGAGAAATGGAACCTAGAACCGTCTTTCGCTAGCTCCTCGAAGACAGTAAAAGTCACGACGCCTGGAAATCATGATAAAAAAAACGCTTCAGAAGAGCTTTTAGTCCTAGTGCCTATCACATTCTTACCTGCTTCTTCGCAAAAAAAACAACAAAAACAAAAAAAACAAAAAAAAAAGGTGCGTTTCCCTACAGTATGTCATGAGTATGTCAGCAAAATTCAAAATTTCAAAACAGTTTACAAAAAGTATTGGGGGCTCAGTCGGGAAGAAATAGTGAAAAAAAAACCGATTTGCGAGACCTTTATTTCTAAACGAACAGACTATTTGCCTTTCCTAATGCCTTGTAAACATCTTCTTTGTATACTTAACCCTTTCACTCCCACAAGTGACCAAGACAGAATTTCTCCTAACAATGTCAATACAATATCAAGCAGGCAGGTGATGAGAATAGAGAAGAATATCAATTATGGGATTATTTGTTGATCCAATACCAAATTCTCTGAACTAACATCATAAGAATTGTATGGCAAATAGTAAGGAGAATTACTAATTAGATCTTGGGAGTGAAAGGTTTAATTTATGAAACGATCGAGAACTGTTAATAACAAGAATATTATTCGTCAAAATGCAAGTATCATCCGATAAGATATCTCTCCTCTTGTAGTGATAAACCTCTTTAGATACAAAGCATGTTCGTATGAGGAAAATTAATGCTGACGAATTATTTTGAGGAAAACTAAATGGATGTAAAAAAAGCTTTTTTATGGTCTAAATTGATCTTTTATTCCATTTTCACCTGCTGGTGAGCTCATGGAAAAAGGCCTGGGAATGCCTTTCTGCATTATCATAGTATTGCGCAAAAATTACAAATTACCTTAGTTAAGTACCCCAATAGCTGTCATCTGTTTTCTCGCAGCAATTTCGTAGCGACAGATTGACGCTGCACACGATAAAATACTACTTCAAACAAATTTTGTTTCCGAAACGATCAGACAGGATTAAGGCGATTGTTTTAAATTATGGGTTTCATAACTTTCAAGAAAATTCGGCAAATAAACAAGCTCAGTCAAATACACCGCTCGCATTAAACAAAGTCAGTTTTTGAGTTGCAAAATTTCAGACTTCAGAATATCCCATCTTTTTGAAAATCTGCATCACTTCGATAGCCTATTTTAAGCTTTCATCTGAGGTCGTTATTGATTACCAAATGAAATTATTATACTTATTACGAAAACTCTAATTGGTCGAGAGTATACAATGAGCATATGTGTGAAGTTGACATCATAACCCAATATCCGCACCACATATATTAGGTTCGAGCTCAAAGTCTGCCTAGTTTTTAAGCCCTACGACCGTGTGGTGTTCTCAAACTTTTTCAGACTCTAAGGGAAGCGTTTTCTCTCGCGGACCGTTTGAAAATCTATAATAAAACAATTCTTGAATTCGGTTTTCGCATGCTATCATGAATTATGCAACCTCGTGTCTGCGTTATCTGTTTATGATTCATGAAATCATACTCAACCTCATCCAAAACTTGCTTGTCATCAGTTGAAAATGCATTTTGAACTGATTCTAAAAGGATGGCTTAGTTACTTATCAAATGTTCAAGAGATGAAAATTGTAAGCGAAAACACGACTGAAAAACAAAAAATATTCCCGTTTTATGTATGCAACATTTAATTTTGGATGTTAGTACATGTATACATATTTGTAGTTGTCGCATGTACAGCCAGCATATCTCCTACTCTTTTCACTTTTGCAGGCCTAGCAAGGAAGAAAGGTTGTTGTTCGCCATGAATGAGTCAGAAAATGCGACTAACTCGACCGCCTCACCTACCATTTACAATCATGGTGTCTCACCAGTTATGGTCACATATTCCATATTTTACGCCATCATCATCATCGCTTCCCTTTTGGGAAATATCACAGTCTGTGTAGTCATACTCAACACCAGATCCCTGCGGCAATCCATCAACTCGTGCTTCATACTCTCCCTGGCAGTTTCTGATCTGATAACAGCTTGTCTGGTGATGCCGTTTGACTTGGAGCTGATCATTTCATTCCAGCGCTGGATACATGGTGAAATCATGTGCAACGTATGGACTACAACATACTTAATGGCTGTACCCACGTCCATTCTAAGCTTGTTGGCTTTGACAGTTTATCGATACCGATTGCTGCAAGAACCCCTGGACATCTACAAGGCATCGCCGCTGATGACTCGTAGGCGCGCCTCTATAGTCGTTTGCTGTTTATGGGTATACTCCATGCTCTTTTCACTCGCCCCAGTCTTTGGCTGGAAACGGCTTCCAAGAAGTGTTAATTATGAATACTGTTATTTCAACCTCTCTTTAACTTATTCAGTCTTAAGTTCGATGATAAATTTTGTGATACCAGTTATAATCGCTTCCTTCCTGAACTGCAGAATGTTCTGCGTCGCAATCAAGCGGGCGCATCCTCCAAAAACTGGCCGCCGAGCTGGAAAAACTAAACACATGACTAGATTGAAAGAAAAGAGAGGGAATGTTTCAGTAGCTAAACCAGAAAGCATTGAAGACCCAGCAAGGCTTGGTACAGTCCAAGAGAGCTCCAATTCACCTACCTCAGAACAACAACCTGTCGAATCTATGCGATCGCGACATGAAGCCATCCTCATCAGGAAATTACAACAACGGAACATTCGTGCAGCCAGGACAACGTTTCTGATCGTTTTCTCGTTCGTGGTCTGTTGGTTGCCTCACTCATTTCTGAGCATCACGTACATTCTGTGTCGGAAATGTGCTATCGATATCGCAAAGCATCCTGAATTGCTTACCTTCTTTCTTATGTTGGGTTATCTTAACTCAGCCATTAACCCTGTTTTGTACAGC